GGCTTGGGAGGAGCCCCTGGCTCCTTTCTTTTACCAGTTCCGTCTATGTGAAGATAAGTGAAAGGTCCTGCTCGACGATGGCTGGCTTTGCTTAGAAGCATGGAGGAAATGTTTCCTCTGTGTTGACCCTCCTCTTTGTAGACTGGACACTGGTTCAGGTCCATCTGGTGGGGTCTCCACAGCCTCCTTGATCAAGAGGACAGGTGACTCACCATGGTTACAGGACATTTTCAGAGATGCTCATAGTCCCCTGGAACTTAGCCGACATAGGAGGGAAAGGAGCAAAAACTGTCCTCTATGTCTCCCTGTCCAAATGAGTAAAGGCCTCATAGTATGGCTGTTAAACATCCAAGAAGGTTAGTTCCACCAGTCTGGTACTTCTAATTACCATGTGCCATGTAGATAGAGCTTGGGCAAAGACCAGATGCTCTCAGATAAACCCTGCCTAGACATATATTACATTCTTTGATCTCGTTGTTTGTATAATTTGTCAGTAGGTTGTTGGCCTGATATGGTTCCCTCTGGTTTTCTCAAACTAGCTAGGCATTATTTATCTCTCACATTGTCTAACCCTTCCACCATGGTTTCTCCATTTAAGGTGCCCCCGATTTTCCCATTTCTCCCTTAATAATACCCATGTCCTATGATCCCAACCTCTCTTTAGCTCCTTCTTTCCCTTTATCCTCTAGGTTCCTTATATAACCTTCCCTCTCCCCTCCCCTTAAAATAACCCCATTTTTACCCTTGTTAACCCTGTTTTCTACTGTTCTTCCCTTTCAGATTCTTTCTTTTCATTTACCTCCCTGGATCCTTTTCATTATCCTGGTTCCTGTAGTTATGTCTGGATACATACTCACTTATAAGGATTTGGTGCTATGATCCACATGTGAGGGAGAACATATGTCTTTTTTTTTCTGAGTCGGTGTTACATCACTTAGTATAACAGTTTCTAGTTCCATCCATTTACCTGCAAATTTCATGATTTCATCTTTCTTTACTGCTGAGTAAAACTCCATCGTATAAATGAACCACATTTTCATTATCTACACGACAACTGAGGGACACTTAGGTTGCTTCCATTTCTTAGCTATAAGAAAAGAGCAGCAACAAACATGGATGTACAAGTGTCTCTGCAATAGGATGAGTTTTTTGGGTATATGCCAAGGAGTGGTATAACTAGGTCAAATGGTATGTTTATTTGTAGTTTTTTAAGAGTTCTCCATGCAGCTTTCCATAGGGGTTGGACAAGTTTGCAGTCCCACCAGCAGTGGATGAGCATTCCCCTTTCCCCACATCGTCTCCAACATTTGGTATCATTTGTTCTCTAGATCTTAGCCAGATCTTAGCCAGTCTGACTGGAGTAAGATGAAATCTTAAAGTGGTTTTAATTTGCATTTCCCTAATTACTAGTGATGTTGAACACCTTTTAAGATGCTCCTTAGCCATCTTTATTTCTTCTTTTGAGAACTCTCTGTTCAGCTCCTTAGCCCATCTTTTAGTTCGGTTACTTCCTTTCTTGATTCTTTGTTTCTTGAGTTCATTATATATTCTGGATGTTAAACTTCTGTCAGATGTGTCACTGGTGAAGATTTTCTCCCACTCTGTGGGTTTTCTCTTCCTTGTTTGCTTCTTTTAATGTACAGAAGCCTTTTAGTTCAATGGGCTCCCATTTGTTGATTCTTGACCTTGTTTCCTCGGCAGTTGATGTCTGGTTTAGAAAATCCTTTCCTACACCTATATCTTGTAGGTTATTGCCAATCTTTTCTTCTAACAGTTTCAGAGTTTTAGGCTTCACATTAACTTCTTTGATCCTTATGGAGTTGACTTTTGTGCAAGGTTGAAGATAGGGGTTAGTTTCATTCTTCTACAGGTGGAGATCCAGTTTTGCCAGCACCATTTGCTGAACATATCTTTCCTCCGGTGAATGTTCTTGGCCCCTTTGTCAAATATCAGGTGGCTGAAATTGCTTGTACTCATATTTGGGTCTTCAATTTTGTTCCATTGATCTATGGGTCTATTTTTGTGCCAGTACCATGTTGTTTTTATGACTATAGCTCTGTAATACAGTTTAATATCTAGTGTAATAGTCCCCCCAGCATTGCTCTTAGTGCACAGTGTTGCTTTGGCTATACGAAGTCTTTTGTGCTTCCATATGTGTCTTAGGATGGTTTTTTTCCAATTCTGTGAAAAATGTCATGGGGATTTTGA